CCCCCAAAGCCCCAGTGGATAGTTGTATGTCGTAGCTGCACATCCTTCTAGTTGCTGTATGTGGGACTCGGCCCCAGGATGAACGGAGAAGCAGTGCCCCGATGCGCACCCGGGATCCGAACCCGGGCCACCAGCATCGCAGCGCGCGCACTTAACCACCAAGCCACAGGGCCGGCCAGATCTTGGCTTTATTTTAGAGAGAAAGCAGTGTCCTTGAGAAAGCGTGGACTTGTACTGGCAAGTTAGCTAGTTAGTTAGAATTCGGTGTCTGTCACTTACATCCAAAAACATCCTGATGGGTTATGCATTTAAGGTGTGAGGTCTTAGCATGAAATAACTGTGGCCCAGTCCTGTCCTCAGGGGTTTACGGGATAGGGGACAGACCAGACCAGTATTCTGCTAGCTGACGCACAATGTCAAGTTCAGAGACTTGCCCTCATTTGTCTTTTCACACTATGAAGGGTGGATTATGGAGACCTACCATTTTTGCGGGGGCACTTCTGTCTGTGCTCCTTTGGTTTGCTTGGCAAGTTTTTACTTTTATCTGCCCCAAAACAAAAGCTAGCAACACATTTATTTTCATCAGTGTGTGCATTTGGTGTTAAGATACTCATATAGGACAAAGGAGAAGAAATGTCCTGAAAATAATAGGAGTATAAATAAATGCCAAATAGCCTCACTGTGGACTGGGAGAGTGAAACTGCATACACAGGCTCAGATGTGGCCGTTAAGGTGGAAAATAATTCATTTTGAGAAAGTATATTGTACAGGGACAGGCACTGCAAATACTTTTATTGGATATTCAGTGGATAACTCAGCGTTATACATAATAAGCGGTTAATAAATACTAGAAGGGAGCAAGTCAGCAGTCTTGAGAATCTGGGAAGTAGGGAACGTCTGTTGACTTTGCCCACCCGGCGTCCTTTTCCTCCTCCTTTTAATAAATCACCCAGATTTTCCATGGGCAGTCACCCTTGCTTTGTTTTCAGCCTGTGTTGTTGGAGGTGACCTCACTGCCTCTGTATTGGGCATGTGACATAAGCTTGGCTAGTCAGGGTCACAGGATCAGTTTATGGAGGAGCCCCAGCATTTTCACTGAAACTGTTGCAAACAGGTTTTTCCTTTTTGTGGGTTTGTTAAGATGGAGCTCCTAGTGACCATCTTTGCTACCACTTAGGGAAAGCCTTTCTGAGAGTGAAGTCAACGCAGAGGAAATCAGAGCAGGGAGATGGAGGAAAAGAGATGGAGAGTGAGGGGGACACATGCACACATACATGCCCCTCCACCCCCACCCCATATGGCCCTGGATTCAGCAACACCCAAAGCCAGTAACTCCAGTTTCACTTTCCAGGCAGGTTAGCCAGTTAGTTTGAATTAGGTATCTGTCATTTACATCCCAAAACATCCTGACTGGTAATGCCTTTTGGGGGTGAGGTCTTAGCATGAAATGACTGTGGCCCAGTCCTGTCCTCAGGGGCTCACAGGGTAGGGGACAGGCCAGATCAGTATTTGGCTAGCTGACCACAGTGTGAAAAATGTGTTGCTGGAGGTAAGAACTAAAAGTTCTGTGGGAGTAGAAGAGATGGAATTATGAATTCTGCTGGAGGCTGGAGAGACTAGCAGAGAGAGCTGTTATTTAACAAAGAAGAAATAGAATGTAGTCTTCAGGAACATTAAAAAAATATATTTAATTCAATTACTTGCTTTTTGAGTCTGAACGAAAGGGAGGCTTTGCAGAGCCTATAGTTAATTGCAGATAAGGAAGATAATTTCAGAGCTTTACCAGTAGTAGAATCTTGGTATTTACTGTAAACACAATTGTTTTGGGAGCAGCCGAATGAGAGGTTATCAGAAAGCTGTCCAGAGTTTATTTTAACACCACAGGGTAACAGCTGCTCTTCTCACCAAAACCTCAATTGGCTTTCTGTTGTGAGCAGAATTCCGAGTGCATCATGAATTTTAAAGGTTTCCTTTTCTTAATGTTAGACTTTATGATTATTACTTTATTTTTTGTAATTGACATTGTTTGCTTTTTAAAAAAATTAATAGACTTTATTTTGGGGGAGCAGTTTTGGATTATAGAAAAATTGAGCAGCAAGTACAGAGTTCCCCCCCACCCCCACCCCAGAGTTTTCCCTGTTATTAACATCTTGCATTAGTGTGGTACATTTGTTACAGTTGGTTAGCCAAAGTGATCGATACATTATTATTAACGTAGTCTGCATTAGGGTTCACTGTTTGTGTTGTACATTGTATGGGCTTTGACAAATGTATGACATCGTGTATCCACCATTAGAGTATCATGCAGAATAGTTTCACTGCCCTAAAAGTCTCCTGTGTTCTAACTATTCATCTCTCCTTCCTTCCCCCTGAATTCCTGGCCACCACTGATCCTTTTACAGTCTCTATAGTTTTACCTTTCCAGAATTTCATATAGTTGGAATCATACAGGATGAAGCCTTTTCAGATTGGCTTCTTTCACTTTACAATATGCATTTAAGTTTCCTCCATATCTTTTTATGACTTGATAGCTCTTTTCTTTTTAGTGATGAGTAATATTCTATTGTATGAATGTGCCATAGTTTATTTATTTATTTACCTACAGAAGGACATCTTGGTTGCTTCTAAGTTTTGGCAATTGTGAATAAAGCTGCTATAAACGTTTGCGTGCAGGTTTTTGTGTAGGCATAAGTTTTCAGTTCCTTTGGGTAAATGCCAAGGAGCATGATTGCTGGATTGTATGGTAAGAGTATGTTTAGTTTTGTAAGAAACTAACTGTTTTCCAAAGTGTTTTTACCATTTTGCATTCCCACTGGCAATGAATGAGAGTTCCTGTTTCTCCACATCCTTCCCAGCATTTGGTGTTGTCATTCTTTTGGATTTTAGCCATTCTAATATGTGTGTAGTGGTATCTCATTGTTCTTTTTATTTGCGGTTCCCTAATGATGTATGATGTTGAGCATCTTTTTATATGCTTGTTTGCTATTTATGTAAATCTTCTTTGGTGATGTGTCTGTTCAGATCTTTTGCCAATTTTTTAATTGAATTGTGCCTTTTCTTAATGTTGAGTTTTATCTTTGTATATTGTGGATACCAGTCCTTGATCAAATAAGTCTTTTGCAGATATTTTCTCCCAGTTCTGTGGCTTGTCTTTCCATTCTCTTGACAATGTCTTTCTCAAAGCAGAGGTTTTTAATTTTAATGAAGTTCAGCGTATCAATTATTTCTTTCATGGATCATTGATGTCGTATCTAAAAAGTCATTGCCAACCGAGGGTCATCTAAGTTTTCTCCTATGTTATCATCCAGAAGTTTTATAGTTTTGCATTTTACTTTTAGGTCTATGATCTATTTTGAGTTAATTTTTGTGAAAAGTGTAAGATCTTTGTCTAGATTCATTTTTTGTATGTGATGTCCAGTTATTCTAGCACCATTTGTTGGAATCACTATTCTTTCTTCGTTGAATGGCCTTTGCTCCTTTGTCAAAGATCAATTGACTGTATTTGTGTGGGTCTATTTCTGGGCTCTCTCTTCTGTTCCATTGATCTATTTGTCTCTTTCACCAATACCACACTGTCTTGATTACTGTAGCTTATAGTAAATCTTCAAGTCAAGTAGTGTTAGTCCTCCAACCTTATTCTTCTCCTTCAATATTTATTGGCTATCCTGGGCTTTTTGCGTTTCCATGCAAACTTCCGAATCAGTTTATCAATGTCCACAAAATAACTTGCTAGGATTTTGATTGAGATTGTGTTGAATCTATAGGTCAGGTTGGGAAGAACTGACATCTTGACAATATTGAGTCTTCCTATCCATGTACGTGGAATAACTGTATTTATTTAGATCTTTGATTTCTTTCATTGGAGTTTTGTAGATTTCCTCATATGGATCTTGTACATATTTTGTTAGATTTATATCTAAGTATTCCATTTATTTTGGTGCTAATATAAATAGCATTGTGTTTTTAATTTCAAATACCAATTGTTTATGACTAATGTGTAAGAAAGCAAGTGACTTTTGTATATTAACTCTGTATCCACAAACTTGCTATAATGCTTATTAGTTCCAGGAAAAGACAATTTTATTTCTTCCTTCTAGTTTGTATGCCTTTTTTTTTTTTCAGTGAGGAAGATTGGCCCTGAGCTAACATTGCCAGTCTTCCTCTATTTTGTATGTGGGTCACCACTACAGCATGGCTTGATGAGCAGTGTGTTGGTCTGCATGCAGGATCCAAACCCACAAACCGTGGGCCACCGATGCAGAGCACACGAACTCAACCACCATGCCACCAGGCTGGCCCCTTGTATGCCTTTTATTTTCTTGTCTTATCTCACTAGCTAGGACTTCCAGTATGATGTTGAATGGGAGTGGTGAGAAGTGACATCCTTGCCTTGTTCTTCATCTTGGTGAGAAAGCATCTAGTTTCTTACCATTAAGTATAATATTAGCTGTAGGTTTTGTGTAGATTTTTTTTTTCAAATT